AGATTCCACCATGGATTTGATTATACCAGATCCAGTCTCTTCACGGAGAATAACTGCATCTAGCCGCTGGGCACTTAGAACCACTGCCCAGCCAAGTTGACACACAGCCTTAACTACCACAGTGTGCATGGATTGTCTTTGGAAGAATACACAACAAACTGTAACAGAGGTTAGCTTTTGGGGATGGAAACTGGGTGGCAGGAATATAGGGGTAGGAGGCAGATTAACTTTTCTCTGTATCATCTGTTGTACCTTGTGGATTCTGTACCATTTATATCACCTATTTTTTTTTTTTTTTTAAGTTGCTGGGGCCTGGTTTAACATGTTTGAAGAGTAAAAGCTTGGAATACAAGAGCTAACTACAGTATTATAATGAAATAACACTCTTTTTAAAAAAAAAAAAAAAAAAAACACTACCATTGAGTCAATTCTGATTGATATTGACCCTTTAGGACTACGTAGAACAATATCCAACTGTGTATAAAGACTAGAACTGCCACATAGTTCCCATAGGATTTCCAAGGCTATCAGTCTTTATGGAAGCAGAGTGTCACATCATTCTCCCATGGAGCAGTTGGTGGATTTGAATTGCCATCCTTTTGGTTAGCAGCCAAGAGATTTAGTTTGCTATGTGGCAATTAAGCACATAGTTGCAAAAAGTTTATATTAAATGATGGTGATTTCTTTTTTTAAAAACAGTGGGGTGCCTGTTTCTAGGTGCAGCTAAAAGTGCTGATGAACATTTACAGCTAGAAATTACTCTAACAGCCTCAGAGGTCATTCACCCAGGGAGAGTGCATTTTCTCTTGTTTGCAGGTAGAGATATCTATGGCTAGAGATAACAGCAAATTTATCTTGTTCTCCCTCCTTCCCATCTTCCATTTCTCCTTTCCTTTAGCCTTTCTTCTCTTTTTACTCCCTTTCTCCTTTCCTTTCATTATATCTTACCCTAACTTAAACACCTGTCCAGTGATCTTCAATTACATCTGTTCCTATCCTTCACCCCAAATTTCTATTTTGTCAGTGTAGATTTCTGCAGATCCACATATTCTGAGATGTGTAGCAAAGGTCATTTTTATTACAGAAATCTTTGGAATATTGTATTGCAGTTTTCCTCATAGAGTGTCCAATGGGATATATATATATATGTATATATGTAAGCATGTAAGCTCTGGTCACTCCTCGGAAGGAAGGTTGGGCAATCCTACTTCTGTAGTGATACTGCCTCGGAAACCCAAGGAGGGGTCGCTATGAGCTATGAGTCGGGGCCGACTCGACGGCACATAACAACAACAACAACAAATTGTACAGAGAAAGAAAGGCCTGCCATTCAGCTTCCATAAAGATTACAGCCAAGAAAACCCTACGGAGCAGTTCTACTCTGTGCTCAAAGTGCCACGATAAATCACAATTGACTGAATGGGTGTTTTGGCCTATTCTTACACTAGCTGCCTCCTCTGCTTTCTAACCAACAATTAAAAAACAAATAAAATCCCCAAGCACCCAGTATATAAAGACCACAGTGACCATGGTAAGTGCAGAAATAATGTAATCGCAAAAAAACCCAAACCAAACTCAATGCCGTGGAGTCAGATCCGACTCATAACAACACCTCTTTGCGTTTCCAAGGTGGTATCACTATGGAAGTAGATTGCCCAACCTTCCTTCCGAGGAGTGGCTGGTTAGTTTGAACTGCCAGGCTTCTGGTTAGCAGTCAAGTGCCTTAGGCACTATGCCACCAGAACTCCTGATGTAATCTTGCCACCATCGAATACCACCACTGCTAACTACCACCACCCACCACAACTTGCTGCTCCAAGTGGCAGAGGCTAGCACATTGGCTTTTGCCTTCATGTAAATTTGAATAATAACCAACAGACATTTGGTGCTGAATACTTCTCTGTTGAGCTGGACATGAGGGCCTCGCGGTTAATATATTGAAAAGGACAGACACTATTATGAGGTTGAAAAAAGGATTGTTGTTGTGTGCCATTGAGTAGGACCCGACTCATAGCGACC